TTAATTGGAGCATAAATTTTGAGCATGATGATCATGCTTATGTATTTTGTTTTCCAATTTCATTCCATCTCATTTTTCTTCATATTAGTTGGTTGCTTTATTTTTCTTGGTGACATACTTTTCTCAACTATTTTCATTCAAATTTTAGGTAAAAAATTTGTTGACGGTTAATCCAGAAGAGGAGGCGTCTGTAAAGAGTGTCACTATACGCAGGATTCCAAGGTATTTTGCGTTGGTTAAAGGGATATTACGTTTTGTTATAGGTTTAATTACAGTACAAATTTAGGATGCCTTACATCATCTTAATCATAACCTGATGCTCGACTCCTATTTATTTGTTAGGGTTCCAGAAACGTTGCCGTTATATGACATATTGAATGAGTTTCAGAAAGGTCACAGCCACATGGCTATTGTTGTAAGACGATGCAATAAGAATGTGGATCAGACCAACGTTGATCCTGCTGACAGTAAGCACCAACTTCCTACTGTATAATGCCTTGAAAAAATTTCCCCAAAATTTCCCTGTCTGCCTGCCCCTTCAAACTCTATGAGGGGACTTTTTGTTTTGATTTTTGATTTTTGATTTTTTTGATAGACATAGTAACTGTTCTTTATGTCTCTCTCAATAGATCCAGTGAAGGAAGTGAAAGTCGACATTGATGGTGAAAAGCCTCTTCAAGAGAAGATTTTGAAGAGCAAAAGATCACTGCAGAAGTGGAAGAGCTTTCCCAACACAAACAGTGCAAATAATTCATATAGGACCGGTTCCAGAAGCAAGAAATGGACAAAGGAGATATATTCAGACATCCTGCAGATTGATGGTGGTGAGCCACTCCCCAAGCTCCCTGAAGAGGAAGAGGCTGTTGGCATTATAACAATGGAAGATGTTATCGAAGAACTGTTACAGGTACTCGCTTGTTTTTCATTTTCAAGCCGTATTTCTATTTTCTTTCTCTTCTGTCCACCATTTCTTCTAGGAGGCCTCATATCCTGATATCAAATATTTGCTAATGTAGGAGGAGATTTTCGATGAGACTGATCATCAGTTTGAGGACTCATAACACCGGTCTTTTCTAGGAAGCGAAGTGTCTTCATCTTGCCGTACATATGATCACAGAAAATTAGTGAAACTTGTTTCAGTCATTTCTTATTTATCTTGTAGTGTTAAAATAGGTTTGTAGTACTGCACGGAAGCTGTATTGAAAATTCATGCAGTTGAGAAGTGATTAGATGTGTGTAATTTGTTGTACTCTAGTATTAGTAGCTGTGTATGTTCGAGATGAATGTTAAATTTTTCTCCAGGCTAAGTTGTAAAAAAAAAGACAGAAAAGTTGAGCATATGGTCTTTGAGTGCGCTGCCTTCTGAACTTATGATAGACCTTGACTGTACAAGACGTTTAATTTCATATGTTGCTTAAAAATTGGGAGCAAATTGAATTTCAATCTTAATATTATAGAAATGACTTTGACAACAGTTTTTGAGAACTCACTTACGCGTCGCACTGTTTTCTGTTGTATAATTCTACTTTTTAACAGTCCCGTTCTCCTCATCCCGTGGACCAGAAGAACGCACTGTTTTCTGTTGTATAATTCTACTTTTTAACAGTCCCGTTCTCCTAATTCTACTTTTTAACAGTCCCGTTCTCCTCATCCCGTGGACCAGAAGAACGGGACTGCGACTTTTAAACAAAACAAATTGAAAATGTTCTCCTTTTTTCCTCTCTCCCCTCTTTTCTTTTCATGTTTATCCCATGGTGATTACGGTCACGGTCGGCCAAGACTAGATTAGCCAGTATGCTTAACTTTTTTCTGTCTTTCTTTTTATACTGTTTACTCATTTTCCTGAATAATCTAAATAAAAAATTTGAAAATTAAGGATGGTAAAGTAATTTACTCCTCTCTTCCTATTGTAATCCTCATCAGAACACAACCTTGTATTGTTTACAATGAATTGAAAATGAATTGTTAAAAAAATATTAACCACAACAGGGTCCCCAGTTTTTGGGGCTGGCAGACATGGGAAACCAAGCAGCCACGATAGTCGGCAGTCAACAACATAAAAGTTATCACTTGGATGTTGATTTCACAAAGGGATATTTGTAGAAGAAATGTCACCTGAATTTATACATCAGTTTTAATTTGTCACCTTAAAGAAAAATTTAAGCAAAATGTCACCTTAAGTATTCAATTCATGATTTGTCACTTGACTTTAACGTCATCCATTTTTTAGGGTATTTTAGTCTTTAAAAATCGGATAGAATATCTATAAAAATAGGTTGAAACAAAGAGCATCAAAGAGGCAGCTAATAGAATATAATTTCCAACTTGAGGACCAAAAAGAGAATCTGATTCTGTCATAGAATAAAATTACAATTCTGCTTTTGTTTTCATGCACTTCTCATCAACAGTGGTGGTGCATCAACTCCATACAGGCCTGAAAGATTCTTCCTTCAGCTTGGTTAGACTATCCTAGTCAAACTAGGGTTTAGGAGGAAAATAACACATTTCATTGTGTTCCAGATTTTGCTTTCAAGTTCAATTGTTTTCCAGATCTTGCCTGGAACTGTAAGCAACATAAAGATTCACCTCTGCAAAAACTAGGATGACCCTTCAGAGTAACATATGACCCTTTTGAAGAATGAAAAGCGTTCGCTAACACCCCACAAGGATAAGATCTCTTTTAAATCAGCAGCAAGGCAATGCAAAACACCACTCAAGTAAGGTATTTACTTCTTCTCTCTTCCTTTCTCTTCTTCTTCTTCTCTTTTGATTTATCCTTGGATTTGTGCTTCTTCGAGCTACCAGCCTTAACTTTTTTTGATTTCTTCCTGTCATAGTCAAGCTCCCCTTCGGAAGAATCACATAACTTCCGTGAAGGCTTCTCTGGTCCATACACACGGCGTTCTTGTACAACGGGGCTCACTAGCAGCTCGTCCTTGGAGTCTGAACCACGGGGAAGATATGGACCCGCTTCATCCATCCTTGATCCAACAGCACCTCTGCCACGCTTGACCCTGCCATAGCAAGAAATTCATGAATCATGTCAATCAGTCGTACATTCTACCCCGCATGAGGGAGAGAGGGAAGGCGAGTGAGAGAGAGAGAGAGATGGGGAAAGAGAAGGGGAGAGAGAGATGCCTTGAATGTAAAAATTCTTCAAGTTCTTCATCTCTTAGACAATTTTCTTCCCTTGAATGGCAGCTATCATATTCCCTTTTCCTTGATGAGCAAGTAGGACTAGCATTGTCATCTGTGACATCATGCCCCTTACTGCTGCTTCTCGAACAGTTACTGTCTCTTTGACTCCTGTCATTTCTGCTCTCATACTTCATCTTTCCTTTAAGCCTATTGTCCAATTCTATCTCTTTCTGCCGGAGTCGCCACATTTCATTCACTTCCACAGCTCGATTTGCTGAAGAAAACAGAAATAAAATCAAAACTTCAGCTGAACGACACAACATTCACCAAACAAATAAAATATGGGCCTGTATAGCAGTTTTGATTATGCTTTAATGCAAAAGCAACAGAACCTCATATATGCTAATCAAAACATAATGGGCTTATCATAGATTTCTAGTTAAAAAACTGCATATAAATAATTTTCATTTTATGCAACCTAAGTAAGGCAACAGTGCGTGATCCAAACTGGTACCCTTTTTAAGGCACTAGTATGATGTGCCTAAATATTGAATATGAACATCAGTTCATCAGCAAAACGGCCAGATGACATATTACAGTGACTGCCTTTTCTTAAAAGAAACTCTTGAACTCATTACAATGATTTTTATCCAACAAGGAATTATGAGGTCATATCACAGAGAGAACAATGCAAGTTCTAGATATACACCAGTATGGTAACTGACCTTGTTGCACGCCACGAACAGTAGCGCTGAGGAACCGTGAATTTGGCCGAAACCGTGTTTGAGGTTGTCGAAGATAAGCATGCACACCTTCCTTCTCAGCTTGGCGCCGCAATTCAGCAGCTTCTTTCATAAGAATTGCAGCTATTCTGTTTTCTGTCTCAAGATCCATCCTATCCCTGTTATGCAACTTCCTAGGGGAAAAAAGAAGAAGAAAAGAATCCCAATCAAATAGTGCATCAATGAAAGCAATAAGTTTGGAATCACAATGAACTTTCTAAATAGTGCATCTATAATGTAAAGTTGTAAACTGAGGGCATAGCTGAAGGAAATTACCGTGTAGAAACTGTACTTTATTGGCTTCTCAAACTTCCTTTTGCAAGTCCTCAACCTGAAACAAAACGTCTTCCATTTAATGCAGGGAACATTATAATACTTATGTTGATTTGAGCTAAAAAATATGCAGAACGATGCAAACAAATTCCCAGGGACAAATGCATGACACAACTGATCATCCAAACATATCTCCGCAGAAAACAAACCAAACCCTCACCAGAATTCAAATTGAATCATACACAAACCAATCAAAATTACAAAACTTCATAACAAACCAAACAAAATTACAGAGAATCAAGACAACCCAATATCAGAAATTGAAAATTTTAAAAGCAAAAAGATGAAACATAAAGAGACCAATCAGAATCACAAGATTTCACCAAATTAAACAGAAAAGCTAGTTAAAAATAGGGGCTTTTGAAAGACATACACGAGAAAATTTTGGTCCCAGGGGTGATCATGAGAAATCAAACTCAATCGGAATCTCCCAAACTCAAATATGTGTTAACGAAAACCCTAGAATCTCATTCGTATTCTTTCCAATAATTTAATCTCAACAGAAAAACATCCAACATATCGAAAATTATAATTGAAAAAAATTACTTGGTGGCGGTGGCTTACCCGGTGACGGCGTTCCTTCCGCCGTTAACAGCGTCTTTTGTTTGCTTCTCCTGGCGGTGATGAGAGAGAAAGTCAGACTGAAGGGGAGAGAGAGAGAGAGGCGAAATGAGTCTTTTTCCCCTAACGCAAAACATAACCCACGGTTTCCACGTCAACCCAACTTAAAACGAAAATTAATGTTTGTTCGGACCAAAATACCCTTTTACGCACCCAAACGAAAAAGGCAACGTCTTTTGCCCTCACACGCAGCTCAAAGAGTCTCTGATTTTTAGCGCCGTCGAGCTCCCTCGTGTCCAGGTTGAAGCTCATTTCTTTCGTTTCTTCAAAACCCAAAAATGTCTTCTTCTTTTCTGTTACAGACTTCAATCTCTTCGTCTTCATCTGCTTTCTTCGCCAACACCAAAATCAACTTCAACAGCAGGTATTAGTTAATCTCCCACTCTCTTCTCTTTTTTCCTTTCTATTTTCTCAGCCTCCAAACACCATCGACTCTCGCAGCTGACATTATTACTGTTTTGCAGAGCTCAGAATGTCTCTCTTCCAGCAAAACCCGTGGGCGTCTGTACATGCGTCGCCACTCCACAAGCAGAGAAGACAGGTCTCTGTGCTTATTTATTTATTTATCTCATTGTTTTAATCTTTTATTTTGTTCTAATTATTATGTGTATATTTTTTCAATGTGAAGCGTTCAAGACCCAGGTGTCTCGCAATGTCAATATAGCCAAACTTCAAGCTGGGTATCTCTTTCCAGAGGTTTGTGATGTCTTTCACTTGATGTTTTTGGGCTTAGTGTTAAGTTGCTCGGTTGGGTCTCTCAAATGTGGCATACCCTTTTGATTTACTTCTTCAACTATTCTCATGTCGAGCTATCTATCTACATCCAATATAATCCCAGATAAAAATTTGGTTTATAAATAAGTAAGAAAGATTACTCTTTGAATTTTACTCTAGGCTAAATGTTAAAGCTTTGGGGTTTGCTTTGTGTGGTATATGTATTTTTTTATTTACTACTGTACTGTATTCATATATCAATTTCTGTTTTTGGGTTGATTTGTGATTTTACTTTTCAATATATTATACAGATTGCTAGAAGAAAGGCTGCACACTTGCAAAAGTACCCTGATGCACAAGTGATTAGCCTTGGGATTGGTGACACTACTGAGCCCATTCCAGAAGTTATAACCTCTGCAATGGCAAAGGTACGTCTTTGCTTTCCTCTTTAATCTATTCTGTTACTACCCAACAGGAACCTTTTTTGTCACTTTTATTATTGTGGTATCCCAGCCGCGATTGGTTCAAATGAAAAGGGCAGTTTTTTTCTTTTGTTGATTGTATGTATAAGCACACTTGTTTGTAAATGTGTAAATTATTCATATGCCAATCAAGAAGTGAAGCGAACCAAATATAACCAAGTTGCTACTTTCAATTACCACAACAGGACCACCACATATGAAAGTATCCTCCTTAAATGGTTGGTGATGTTGCTTTGTTTCTGTTTCCCATCTGTTCCTGTTTCTATGTAAAACTTGCCTGTTTACTGGTGTTTCTTTGAGGGCAATTGACATCAACCTAACCAGCCTGAATGTCAATGTGAAAGTAGTAAAATCAATAAGCATGGGTTGCCTTTACTTGAGACCCTTTTTCTGTTAAATTCTTGACCTCTTGTTATTTTATGATTAATTTATTTTTGGTTCTGCTAGCCAACTAAGCCAAGTTCATCATCAGATGTAAACTTAAATTATGAGCTTGTTTTTGGTTGAGTTGGAATTGTTGAGACAGTCAAGCAGCCAACCCTTTGGTCAGGGCAAACCGAGTAAATTAATCTAGTGATTGGAAATTATTTTCAGACCACATCCAGTGGAATATCTTGTAAAAATATGTTATATATAGGTTCTTTATCCAACCCAAGAATAATTCTTTTTTTTTTTTTAAATTTAAATTTATTGGGAAGCAAAAGTACTTATTTTTGTGGTAAATAATCCATGCATTCTGAGCATCACGCATTCTAACCCACGCATTATATGTATATTACCTTATCAAAAGAAAATGTGTAGTATAATTGTTCGTCAATTGTCTTGTCTTTCTAATCCATCTTAAGTTGTTTCCAATTTTCAGAGATCACATGCCTTGTCTACCCTAGAGGGTTACAGTGGTTACGGAGCTGAACAAGGTGAAAAGGTATTTGGGGGTCAGCTATTTTCAGGGATGTAGTTGATGAGCTTTAAGTTATTCTATGCAATGCAAATTTGTCCTCCCACTTTCTACCATCTTTTAGATGACTAAGATGAAATATTTTTAGTGATAATGAAGAGTAAAACATATTGTTAATCTGTTCAGCCACTGAGAGCTGCAATTGCTTCGACCTTTTATGACAACCTTGACATAGAGGAAGATGATATCTTTGTTTCTGATGGTGCAAAATGTGACATATCCCGCCTTCAGGTTTTTTTTTAAAACTTTTTTGTATCAATTGTGATTTTTTTGCTTTTCGTGTTAATTGACACAATTGATTCATAACTATAACTGTACTTATATTGGGTTTGCTTGTTTTACTTTGTGGTAGGTTGTTTTTGGGTCTAATGTTACAATGGCAGTGCAAGATCCTTCTTATCCGGTAATCTTTGTTTTTATTATGTAGTTGCCTTTTTATGTCATGTCTCATTTCTCTCACAATAATTGTTACCTTTGGCAGGATTTTTTTGTTGTTGCTATATTAGGTAGGGTTTTTTGCTATAAAAATGAATGTTTAGAAATGCACAGGATTACATTCTGATTGAAGATTTTTGGAAAAATAAAATAAAGAAACGAAGATTGGGGAAAAAAAGGACCTATCTTGTTGAGTTAATGGTGGTGTGCTATCTGTTCAAATGTAGACTTAAGTGTAAACCTATCTTCTTATCCGCAGGCTTATGTAGATTCGAGTGTTATTATGGGCCAAACTGGAGAGTATCAGAAAGCTGTTGAAAAGTACGGAAATATTGAGTACATGAGGTGTACTCCTGAGAATGGATTTTTCCCTGATTTACGCACTGTTGCTCGAACAGATATCATATTTTTCTGCTCACCAAACAACCCTACTGGTTCTGCTGCAACAAGGGAGCAGCTGACACAACTGGTGCAGTTTGCAAAAGATAATGGGTCAATCATAGTCTATGATTCTGCATATGCCATGTATATGTCCGATGACAATCCACGCTCAATCTTTGAAATCCCTGGAGCCAAAGAGGTAAGTCCGCAATCTATAACTTTAACTTGTATCTTGGCGAGGCTGTTGATTCTTTATTTTCTTGAAACCTTTATCTTTACCTGCTGGCTGTCTCTATTAAAGGTTTGTTAGAGAATAATTCTATTCACACAGTTTGGGTTCTCAAAGTTCATCTACACTATAAAAACCCTTCAGACTTGGCCCAGATTGGCTGGCACAAGCGTATATGCATTGTAAATTTTGAATTTTCCTTGGGCTGCCATTTCACCTTTCATGAGAACCTCGTTGGACTCTTATTGCTGTGAATATACAAGAGCTAACATTTATGTTCTATGTTTCTGTATGGACATTGCAGGTTGCAATTGAGACATCATCATTCAGTAAGTATGCTGGATTCACCGGAGTTCGTTTGGGGTGGACTGTTGTCCCAAAGCAGTTGCTCTTTTCAGATGGATTTCCTGTCGCCAAGGACTTCAACCGCATCGTTTGTACTTGCTTTAATGGTGCATCAAATATTTCCCAAGCTGGTGGTCTTGCTTGCCTTTCATCAGAAGGTCTTAAGGTCCGTTCTAATGTCTCTTGATTGGTTGCTGAATTTTCAAGCTAAAAGTCTACCTGCATGCGTTGTTACAAGCTTTGATTACATTTATTTGATTTCATCTCATTGTAGGCAATGCATGAGGTGATTGGCTTCTACAAAGAAAATACTAATATAATAGTGGAGACATTTGAGTCTCTAGGCTTTAAGGTTTATGGAGGGAAGAATGCACCATATGTGTGGGTCCACTTCCCTGGCCAAAGCTCATGGGATGTATTCAGTGAGATTCTTGAGAAGACTCATGTGGTTACCACACCTGGTAGTGGTTTTGGACCTGGTGGTGAAGGTTTCGTCAGGGTTAGCGCCTTTGGTCACAGGACTAATGTATTAGAAGCCTGTAAAAGATTCAAGCAATTGTACAAGTGAACGAGAGTATCGGACTTGTAGATTAGTATCTGCAGCCTCGTATCTGAACCAAAGATGATCAACGTTTGCCTCCATGTTCTATGTTTGTCAGTTGTGCGCTAGTTTCAGCAAGTTCCTTGTCATATTGGTTTGTGGATTCTATTTTTAGAAATGCAAATCATTTTGGCTGTCGCAGAAAATGATTGAATATTTAGATGTTACAATTGGCTGCTGTAAAGTTTCTATTAAGATTAGAAGCTTGATTTCTACTTGTTATTGTTGCCTAAAAGTTATCTAAATAAAGTTGCAGTAATTCGTAGCCTGCAAATCCGTCGAGATCATGCAGTCCAAGACGGCACTTTTATTTTTTTGGTGACTCCAAGATGGTACTTTTGGGCCCTGATTTCAGAGCTGTAGAAGGCTAGAACCTGAAGCTGATATAAAATGTTCTTGTTTTGTTTCCTTTCTCTTGGGAGCCAAATAGGCATTTCAGCATGTTCATCCCATCAGTTTTGCTTCATTTAAATGTTGCCCCTATTAACTTCATCAGGAAAAAGAATGGAAAGTATTTTAAACTTAACTTGAAAACAATTTATTGATGCTATTAGTAGTGGAAACACTCAACTATATTTTATAGCAAAAGGTCTCGGTCCTATTCGTGTAAACACTCACTTACATAGAATTTTTAAAACACCTAATTAAACACCATAAGACCAAAACATACATTATTCAACTGCTACTTTTTATATTGCAGTCAACACATATCAAATTATTCATAACAAATGCCATATACGTATATGTCGGCAAAATGTTTTTGTCATTCTAAAAAGGGCACCAAGTGGGACAACGTTAATAGGTCATGTTCAAACAATGTTGACATTATATGAATAAGGGAGGAACATGAAAGAAAAAAAACAAGAAGCAGAGATGCATATTTGAGAAAAATAGGAAGCTACATTTACACTAAGCAACCAACTTATCAATGGCTATATGTGCTTACAAAATGTTGGTGCTTCATTCTAAAGACTTCCGAGAGGTTGATAGGATTCCAAGGGTGTTTTAGTCTTTTGAAATCTAGCCAAACTACTATATTAGGAGGTTAGTTAGTATTAGTTGGGATGTTGAATTATATTGTGTTTTGAGTAATAAAAATAGAATATTCTTTCTGTACAATTGGGTCAAGGTTGAACGGGGTCTAACAGTGGTTGGTTGTGGACAGAAGAAGGGCTGGTCCATTTTCTTTGCAACCAAACACCTTCCACTCTCCTAGCTTACATTGTCAACTGTTTTTCCGAGCTCAGAATGTTTCCCTTCAAGAAAAAGAGAAGACTGGTTTCTTGCTTTTAACTTATTTTTTTTGGATGAACTTATAAATCTTTCGTTGAAAAACAAAACCTGATTCATATACATTTTTTCAATGTAAAGCATACAAGACCCGGGTGGCTCGCAATGCAAACATGGCCAAATTTCAAGCCGCGTATATCTTTCCAGAGGTCTGTAATGTCCTTCACTTGCTCTATATTTGGCCTTCATGTTAAGTTGCTCAGTTTGTGTCTCTCAAATATGGCATGGCAAAACCTTTTAATTTACTTGTTCAACTAAATCATAATTAACTCATTAAAATTTACTTTGAGGGTTAAAGACGCTTACTTGTAAAGTTTTTGAGTTTGGTTTATGTTGTTTTAGATTGCTAGAAGAAGGGATGCACACTTGCAGAAGTACCCTGATGCACAAGTGATTAGCCTTGGACATGGTGACACCACTGAGCCCATTCCAGAAGTTATAACCTCTGCAATGGAAAAGGTAGCCTTCTTTGCTTTCATGTTTAATCGATGTACCTTTTGACATAGAAACCGTGATATTCGAAAATGTTCTCTTGCCAGACTGTGAATTTGGACTATGCTGTGCATTTTTTTGTTAAGAACTTGTACATACTGTAACACATGCATTATAATGGATCTTACTTTTTGAAAAGAGAATTTGTAGTAATTGTGGTTTGTGAGTTGTCATGTCTTGCTGATCCATCTTTAAATTGTTTCTAATTTGGCAGAGATCACAAGCTTTGTCCACCCTAGAGGGTTACAGTGGTTATGGACCTGCGCAAGGTGAAAAGGTATTTGGCCTTCTCAATATCTGATTAGCTATTAGGGGCAAAACATGTAGCAAATAGTCATGCCTTTGTTTTCTGTATTGACATTCCTTATTCAAGAAATTGTGCAGGGTTAAAACATATTGTTATCTGTACAGCAATTGAGAGCTGCAATTGCTTCAACATTTTATGACAACCTTGGCATAGAGGAAGATGACATATTTGTTTCTGATGTGCAAAATGCGACATTTCCCGCCTTCAGGTTTTCATATTTTTGTTAATCTGTTGATATTTTTTTGTTTTTCATGATAATTGTCCTGATTGATTCAGAACTATAAACTGTACTTAAATTGTCTCTGCCTTGTTTTTACATTGTGATAGCTTGTTTTCGGGTCTAATGTTACAATGGCAGTGCAAAGTCCATCTTATCCGGTAATTTGCTTTTGATCTTTACTTGCCTTTTATACTGTCTCCTCTCTCTCTCTCTCTCTCTCTCTCTCTCTCTCTCTCTCTCTCTCTCTCACACACACACATTGTTTAAAACTTGGGATGATTTTCCTTTTTTTCTTCTTTATCTGCAGGCTTATGTGCAATCGAGTGTTGTTATGGGCCAGACTGCACAATATCAGAAAGAAGTTGAGAAGTTTGGAAACATTGAGTACATGACGTGCACTCCTGAGAATGGATTTTTTCCTGATTTACGCAAAGTTGCTCGAACAGATACCATATTTTTCTGCTCACCAAACAACCCTACTGGTTCGGCTGCAACCAGAGAGCAACTGACACAACTAGTACAGTTTGCTAAGGATAATGGTTCAATCATAGTCTATGATTCTGCATATGCCATGTATATGTCAGATGACAATCCTCGCTCAATCTTCGAAATCCCGGGAGCTAAAGAGGTAAGTCTGCAATCGATAATTTGTTTGCAAGGCTCTTGATTCATAGTTTTGTTGAAGATTTATGTATGGAATGGATAATAAATAGGAGGATTTATATGCATTATGGTGGATAAGAAGCCTAATATATAAGAGCATACCAGATCTAACTTGTATGTTTTATGTTTCTGTATCGCCATTGCAGGTTGCAATTGAGACATCATCATTCAGTAAGTACGCTGGATTCACTGGAGTTCGCCTGGGGTGGACGGCAGTCCCAAAGCAGTTGCTCTTTTCAGATGGATTTCCTGTCGCCAAGGACTTCAACCGCATCGTATGCACTTGCTTCAGTGGTGCATCAAACATTGCCCAAGCTGGTGGTGTGGCTTGCCTTTCACCGGAAGGCATTAAGGTCCGTTCTTCTGTATCTCGATTGATTCTAAAGTTTCATACTTGAAACCCACCTGCATGTGTTGTTAACTTGTTACAAGCTTTGCTTACATTTGTTTGATTTCAACTCCTTGTAGGCTATGCATGATGTGATTAGTTTCTACAAAGAAAATACTGGAATTTTAGTGGACACATTTGAGTCTCTTGGCTTTAAGGTGTATGGAGGGAAGAATGCACCGTATGTGTGGATTCACTTCCCGGGCCGAAGCTCATGGGATGTATTCAATGAGATTCTTGAGAAGATTCATGTGGTTACCATACCTGGGATTGGTTTTGGGCCTGGTGGTGAAGGTTTCATTAGGGTTAGTGCCTTTGGTCAAAGGAGAAACGTTTTAGAAGCCTCTGAAAGATTCAAGCAATTATACAAGTGAAGTGACTCTAGAGTGGTATCTGCAGCCTTCTATATGAATCGGAGATCATCGATATTTGCCTCCATTTCTGTTCTATGTTGTGTGCACTAGTAAACTTCTGAAAGTTGCATGTCATTATTTAGATGTTATTGCAGAATGTGATTTAATCAGCAGTGTGTACATGTTACACTTTACTGATGTAATGCTTGCATTAAGATCAGAAGCTTGATTTCTAACTTATTTTGGTTGCCAAGTTGTTTTTTCAAAATAAAGGGCAGATACTACCTATCCTGCAAATCAAGATCTAGCACTCCAAAATAGGTATTTTTGTACTTTTAGAAAACACAGCTGCAGGAAAAAACCACAAAGGCGAAATTCCAAACTGAGAATCACACTGACAAAGGGATAAAAATACGCTGGTTTTTAACACTTCATTATAGCAAGAAACATCTGCAATTTCAGAAGTCCTTCCAATTACACGTACGTCTAATGGCACAATGGACAAATCCTACTTTACATGATTTGAATAACTAGTATGGCATAATTACAGGAACACTATTCTACACTAAGGTAATATAAATATAGTAAACGTTCAGGAGGTGATCTCTAGAATACAAAATTAGACACCTAGAACTGTTCGATACTATCCATAATCTCTGCTTTGCAAGTCTCTGCTTTGCAAGTTGTCTTGTAATGTCCAGTTTGGTTACACCGACTACAATGCACAGTATGTTTCTCACGATTAAGGTCCTCTACACAAATTCGTTTCTTTTCTGGGCGTCCTGGCGGTCTACGAAACTTAGGAGGTCGCACAACTCGAGTATCGTCATCCACACAAGCCTCATCTGCCTTTCTCCATTCAATTTTTCCAGGGATAGGGTATATCTGTTCAGCATATGCCTCACGGTAACTTGCAACGGTAAAATATTTCTCTGTAAAGGCGTATACATCTTTTCGACAGGAGATGAAGGCAGCCACAGCATGGGAACACGGTATCCCATATAGCTGCCAATCACGGCAGGAACAACAACGGGTGCCAATATTCACAATGTCTGATCGGTCAGCTGAGAGAACCTCAAATTCTACTTGATCAGAACGAAGGACCTGATATGTGGATGCATGGCCAATGGCTTCTAAAATATGCTTCTCAGCGGATGGAGCAAGTACAGAAAACCAAGAATTACTCTTAAAACGCCGTTCTTCAAACTCAGCCATCAATCTAATATGAATCGTCGCAATCACCTGGATTATGGGCAGCTCACGAGCTTCGAGAATCCACGTATTGAACTCCTCAATATTTGATGAGAGATGACCATAACGTGTTCCTTCAAAATACACTAATGCCCAGAGGGAAGGATGGAATTGTTGTAGCCATTTTGCAGCCTCCGGAGATACCTCCTCTATTTCAGCCATTTTTTCTTTAAAGCCAAACATGGTAGTGGCATATGCAGCATTCCATAGAAGATGAACAAGCCTAGAGTTCTTAAACTCTTTTCCAATGCTTTCACTCAAGTGGCGCATGCAAAAAGCATGTAATGAATTGGGGAATTTTCTTCTTACTGCATCTGCAATGCCCTTGTGCCCATCAGATAAAAATGTGAGCTCCGGCATATTCTCAGTGTTCATCTCCAGCGCCTTATGCAACTCTGACAAGAACCACATCCAGCTCTCATCAGTTTCTACATCAACAACACCAAATGCTAGCGGAAATAACCCACCATCAGCATCAAAAGAAGTTGCAGAGAGTAAGGTACCAAGATATTTGCTTTTAAGCTGGATTCCACCGAGCCCAACGATGGGCAAGCAACCATTCAAAAAACCACAAATGGACGCATAAAAGGACACAAACAACCGCTGGAACCGATGATCCACACCAGTGGTAAACACCTCTGCAATGCTTCCAGGGTTGGTCTTCTTTATTTGCTCACAATATGACGGAAGAAGGCAATATCCTTCCTCAGAAGAGCCATAAATCGCAGCAAGTCCTCGTTCCTTTGCACGCCAAGCTTGCTTATACGGTATAGTTATCCCATATTGCTTATGGATATCATGCAATATATCCTTTGGTTTGTAATTAATGTTATCCCGCAGACGTTCTTCTATAAAACTGACAATCCAATCAACAGAAGCCTGGTGGTGCCCATTGTGTGCATTTCTACCACAAGTGTGTGTCCCTTCAAGGCTTCTTATTGTAAAGGTTGGGGCATTAGGAAGCTTCACAGCACGGATGCGCCATGGACAACCATCTGTCGCACACTTCGCAAAGTAGCGGATAAGGTCACTTTTTATGATACGAAGCTCGAAGTGTTGAGCAATTGCAGCTTCTTTAATTGCATTCCTGAAGGCCTTGACATCAGGGAACTCTTGACCAACAACAAACGTCTGGCCCTCCATGTGGCAAACAAAAACAATCAAAAGCTGACAATCCAATCAGCTTGTTTGAAATTTCCTTCAACGCAATCGTCAACTATTCCAATGTTTAGCTTCCTGGGAAGCGAAAAAAGAGATGAAGAATACGACTGTCATTTTGTTGCATCTGACTGGAAACTCCCTGAGGGACATTCTCATCGCAAAAAGCCTACAAGAAGCCATGCAGTGATATTTAAAATCATACAATTGAAATCATTGGTTTCATCCTAAAAAACAAAAAAGACCCGAATGTCTACGATACTCTCTATATGACACTCAACACAAGTCAATTATTCATATCAATGGATTGACAACAACTATATAACAAAATGTGCTCATATATTTCAACAACTCTCTCTCTTTAGTAATGTGCACAAATGACGCTCATTAATTCTAAAAATTTCATACTAACCAGCTGTACTAACTGGGGCACGTTGGCTGATCATTTGCCTTCAAAATACCGTACAAGTTGACAGATTTTTCCATTGTCGCTAAAAATGAATGAAATTTCAAACAAACAGGCTCAGTAATTAAGATAAAATCCAGTTATCATCACAACAAATATGCCATACCCAATTTATAAAAATAAAAATACAGCAAAAATAAAGTGTATTTATACATTCAAACCATATTTTGGGTTTGCAGCTAAGATCTGCAACTCGTATTTTCTAAGGTCAGAATCAAATAGAAAACAGAGCAATTCATTCACCCCTCATACATACAAATATATACATACATGTTAACGATAGAATGAAGTTCGCATATCTGACGTTTGAAAGCAGAACCAGGAAATCAAAGATCAAAACTTGACAGAGCAAGATCGAGGCAGTGGGGGTTTCGACATCAGAGAGAGGAGAGAGAGAGGGCGAGAACTTTGTTGGTATTCTGACAAAAGATTAGGGTTGATTAGGTCACATTTGGAATATTCTGACATTTCGGCTACCAAAGATGGGTATTTCGTAATTTACTTGTTTTATGGGTATTTTCGTCATTGGAACTCATTGACAAGGACGGACGAATGTATTATGTATTCGAGTTTCGAAACCCAAATTTTATTTATTTGAGAACCGAAACCCAAATTTTATACTAAGAGCATCTCCAAGGGAGATGTCAAATACCAAACATCAAATTTAAATTTGATGTTTGGTATTTGACATCTCCCTTGGAGATGCTCTTACACAGCTTTACACTCCACCAGATATGTCAAATTAAATTATTATTTTATTACATTTTAGTATTGATTTATTTTTAATTAAAAAGAATAGAAAAGAAAAAATAATAAAATATTCATTTGACATCTTGCTTTTGGGATGTCAAAAATAACATCTCAATTTTCAGCCTTCATTCCACATCAGCTTTGACACATCGGTTGGAGTGTGTGAGATGTTATTTCTAACTGTTAAATGTCTATATGGCACTTTTGACATATCGGTTGGAGATGCTCTAAGATCATCTCCAGGAGCTCAGGGTGCCAAACCCACGGGCATAAGAGCAACTCCACCTATTTATCATGGCAAAAGGTAAAGTACTATTTATATGAATAGTAGCTGTCTTTGTAAAAAGTAATGTGTGTTTCCACCCGTTGCCATGGCAAAGGGCAAATACTATTCATTTTTCGTTTAAAAAAAAAAACTAAACAATTAAAAAAATTCAAAAGTTTTTGTGAATTTTTTTAAAAATTTCGAATTTTGTTCACATTTTTTTGCCCAAAAAAAGCCCAATCGTTGGATTTGAAAAAAAAAAAAACCATCGGAGCACCAGAACGCGCCACACGGCGAGTTACCATTGGTGCTGACATCAGCGTGCAGCAACATCACCCTCCCCCCGGGTTTGATCTCGGGCTGCTTCCCCCCGCCGGCTGGCCCAGTCTCGTGGGACCTGCGCCTTGCCCAAACTGTCTTGGCCTGCTGGAACGACCTGCCCGGGGTTGAGTTAGTTTCTAGAGTTGCTCTAAAGGGTGGAGCCCATGCTCTAACGGTGGCGTTTAGGCCTAAAGGCCAAAATGAAATATTAGATTTGAAAACCACATGTACCTCTTTAGCACAATACTTGTTTTTAGCATTTTCAATATAAATTTTGTTTTTTTAAAGTAAAATAATTGTTTTGAAGAGTTAAAGTTAACTTTGTCAGTTCTAAAAAGAGAAAAATGGGTTGCATAGTTTGACAAGCTTGTTTGGGAGAGTTCTTTTGCTGATGTGCCAAAGTTATTGAAGAGTCTGTAGAAGATACTCTAAGATAGACTTGTATGCACAAGTACTTGAAAGCTAGTCCATAAGCAAGTTCCAACTCTACAAATTTAAGAATTAAAAATAATAATAAATCTTAGCCCGTTCCTATTATAAAAAAAAAAAAGAAAAAAAAAAGAAAGGGGTTTTGATACCCGAATTTAGCTACAGTATGGGAACCCCTAAAACTAATTTAAGACAATGCCTTCTTTTCGAAAGATGTCAATGCTTATGTGATAGCGTTCACACTAGAGAAAAAAGGTGATAACCACACAACACTATTATTGAGAGCAAGTTTAACTCAAATGAACGGGCGAAACTCAACATATAAGTGATACTCTCCTACCGAAAGATCGACACATATACATTAATGATTTATGAGAAAGTTTGTCAAAATGTGTAATTTTATTTATATTAGATATAATGAACTCAAACTCAATCCATTCCACCATTAAAAAGAAAAATGTCTGAAAATAGGCTGGTGGTAAAGGATGATACAATCCATATCCTTTTTCTTCCACACCAATGTAAGTGCCACATTCTTCTTCCCGGCAGTTGTTTTTTCTCTCCTAATTCTTTAATTTGAGGGTTAAAATACTTAATTATTTTCAGTTATATTGTGCCATGTTTTCTTGCGCAAATGATTTTGCAGGTCAGAGCATAAGAATGTTGAGGAAGGGAAAATACCCTCAAGTAGTGCATCTCATATGAATTTAGTTAGGGTCTTAAGGTATGCAATCACTTTTCTTGATGGGAAAATACTTGTTTCATTCCTTGCAAATAAGAACTTTTAACTTTCTTGTCAATTGCAATTTGATGAACAACATATTCCGCATCGAGTTTTTGAGACGGGTAACCTCATTGGACTTGGCTATAACCACAAATAATGTGTTTGCCTTTTTTTTTTTTTTTTTTTATTTATGACACAAGTGATATTAGGGAGGCGAAAATCAAACATAGGACTTTATATGCATGAGTAAATCCTGTTAACCACTTGAAATGTAAAATTAACTAAGTACACCCTATTTAACTACCAAAAATACTTCTAGTACACCCTAATACACTATATCACACAACACCCTAATACCAATCCCAAATCTGTCACCTTCTAAAAATCAACAACCACTTGAGAGTCCTGATGTTCTCAAAACTTGTTCTCCAGATAAATTGGCTGGTGATTTACATCTGTTTGATGGCTCCTTGGTCACAGTAGAAGAACTTTCAGGTGCTCCTGCAGAAACTATTGGAAGGAGTTGTCATGGAACAAAGTACAAAGCTATGCTTGACTCAGGTCATGTATCGGCTATGAAATGGCTAAGGGAGGGTATAGCAAAAGGAAGGAAAGAATTTGCAAGAGAAGTAAAGAAACTAGGAAACATCAGACATCCGAATCTAGTTTCTCTGCTCAGTTATTACTCGGGCCCAAAGGAGCATGAGACACTAATTCTATCAACTTATAATAATGCATAATCGTTGGCATTCCATCTTCATGGAAAGACTGTTATCTATCCTTCATTTTATTAGGATTTGAAATGAGAATCTCCCGAATATTGTTCCATGTGTACACCTTGATTTTACTAGCAATTCTTTCTCTCCTCCAAAGAAATAAGATTTCGCCCTGGGCACTAAGCAATACGAAAACTTATCTATGTTTGATTAGGGTTAAATATGGTGAGTAGGGAATATTTATTAAAATTATATTTGTTTCCCAATTCAATATATCCTTTTTGGTCATTTTATGTTAGGATAAATTAGTAATACAATAACTACTTTGGTAGTAGGGTGTACTCAGTTAATTTTAGGGTTCGTTTAGCAGCACTCATTTATTAAAATTATATTTGTTTCCCAATTCAATATATCCTTTTTGGTCATTTTATGTTAGGATAAATTAGTAATCCAATAATTACTTTGGTAGTAGGGTGTACTCAGTTAATTTTAGGGTTCGTTTAGCAGCACTTTTTTTTCTTCTTTTTTTGTAGGAAATTGATTCTTCTTTTCTTTTCTTTTCTCTAAGAAACCCCCACCTCAATTACCTATTCTCCAAAATTACTTTCTTCCCATGGTTGTAAATATTTTTATGTGGCTGTCTTTGTAATTATTATTTTTTAAAATTATCATGTATTTATCTTTAATAATATTTCTAAAACTCCTAGTCGATGTATAACTAGGAGACCATCCATGACCATGCCCATCTCTAATCACCTGGATCCCTCAAATATTTTATCAGAACGGAAAAACACAATCTCAATTCTCTCAAATATTCTTTACTTTTACAACATTCATCACTATTTTGTTTTTATTATATTCCTGTACAATGATCTTGTTCATGTTGAAAATGGACTTTTCAGAAAAATAAAGAAAGTTAAATAGATTTAAAGGAATTATACCATAAAAAGAAAAAAAAAGGAATTGAGAGAGAGTTGTCCTTTTGTTGTCAAATTCCCCCCCACTTCCCATTTACGCGCACAGCACACAGCACACAGCACACAGCAGCCACCCTTTTGGTTCTTCGCTCCTGCCGCCCCTAGTTTTTCTTCGTTGCTTCCTTATTTACTTGTTCATTTATAATCCCCTCCTCCTTCCTCTTCCTCCTGCCTTCACTTTTCTTCTAACCCTCTTGTTTTTCACACAGTCCTCTCACAGTCCAAGTTCGGGTCTTGGAGGGGTTTGCTCAACCCAGTGCTCAAAGGGCCAAAAGGTACTTCCTTTTCATTGTCTAATCTTCCAATTTCTCTGCTGAAAGTTTGGTGTTAATTTATTATTGCTCATGTATTTGCAGTGGTGATGTTTAAGGTTTATCTATTCGATTGAGAGATTCATTGGCATGGCTAATAATTGCAGAAATTTTTATTGTAAAGCGAACTAACCAGTCAACTTTGTCCCACTCAGCTCTGTTCGTTAGTGCGAAGTTTTTAGAATTAATTAGCAAAATTTTAAGTCGTGATTGATGAGTTGGTTGCTTACTAAAATGTAGTTTGTGTATGACAAAATGAGTTTTTGTACTCTGAGTATGAAATTTTTGCTTTTTGTTTCATTCTTGCTGTCCTTTTTGTTGTTGTTGTTGTAATTCTGGTCTTGGTAAATTTACCAGTCTGGCTAACTGTAATGATTCATAATGCAAATTGAATGTTGTATTGTTACCTGTTTATCATACTAAATGTTAGTCATCTCTCACCCCCAACACTATGATTGGGGATTGCAATTTTTTTATTTATAATGTTTTCTTCTTGTTTAGAGCAATATATGTAGTTCTTGTGTTCATATTGATCTGTTCTCGGCCTAATAATGGCAGTTAGCATTTTTTATTTTATGGTATGGGTGTTTTCTTCAATTGCTCAAAAACAGTCTTTTAAGTTTGAATAGTAATTGATTAAACATTTTCTTTCTCATTCAGCGGTTCACCATGAACAACCTCTCGTCCTTCACAACTCTCGACTCCAATCCGCTCTCTAAGCCTCGCTCATTTGGTCCCTACCTCCACGGGCCCATTCACCTTCAGCGCCCCAGAAATGTTGTCGTATGCTCAGTGAAGCCCTCAGTTGCCACTCCCTCACCTCTAAGTGTGTCTGGGTCCCCTAACCAGGGGCTAAGTCGAATTGAGTCGCTAACCCAGGTCTCAGGTGTGTTGGGCTGCCAGTGGGGAGATGAAGGAAAAGGCAAACTCGTTGACATCTTGGCCGAACACTTTGACAT